GACTGACTGACTGACTGACTGACTGACTGACTGACTGACTGACTGACTGACTGACTGACTCACCTACACCCTCGCCTATCATGAACACAGTACACAGGACCACCACTGCCACGAGTTGACGACGGGCCACTTTGTCCATGAGGGAGCCGCTCCTCTGTTTGTGGCAGTGCCGGACACCCGCCGCACGCCCACTGCTGATGGCCACGTCACTGGACCCGTACAGCATGTCTGGGGGAGATACAGAGTGGGGGTGGGGGTTCGTTTATTTGCGTTCAAACATAAAGCTATAACTGTAAAACACACGGTGTAAAAAACAAATCATAACTTTCCAACATACAAAGTTAAAACATATCAAACTTTAAAACACACGGTGTTAAAACATAATCTATCACTTTAAAACATACGGTGTTAAAACGTAAGTTTAAAACAGACGGTGTTGAAACATATAATTTTAAAACATACGGTGTTAAAACGTATAAAACTTTTAAACATACGGTGTTAAAACGTAAGTTTAAAACAGACGGTGTTGAAACATATAAGTTTAAAACATACGGTGTTAAAACATAATATATCACTTTAAAACATACGGTGTTAAAACATAACATAAAGGGTTAAAACACGGATCGTTACAAGAACCGAAGATGACGTTCTACCATAGAGTGCTAAAACACGGAGAGTAAGAAGAGATCTTTCTACCATACATTCCCCCCTCCCCCCCTTCCGACCAGGCCTGCAATAAACGTCCTCTTCCCCAGGTCTCCATCCATCCACTGCCCATAACTGTCCACACGGTCGTCAGACTCAACGACAACAGCACTTGGCTACGTCAGAATCACAGTTTTATCTCACAGTCTGGGCCGTTTTGAGCTGCTAAGACCATGAGGTCGGACACCAACTATTCTATCTGCTCTATCAAAATCGAAGGATTATTTTGAGATGTCATCAAGATATTCATGGACTTGCTATAGAAAAAGCTTGACATGTTGTGAAGCTCAAAATGTTGTACGTCCAATTTCTCAAAACTAGGAAGTGAGCAGAGAGATCTTTATCATTCTGTGGTAGCCAATTGTCCAATGACCGTTGTTGTGTCAATGTCTTTGTCTTTCCTCAAACTCATTTGACATTGACACAATCACGGTCATTGAGAAAAGACAAAGACATTGACACAATCACGGTCATTGAGAAAAGACAAAGACATTGACACAATCACGGTCATTGAGAAAAGACAAAGACATTGACA